GAGCTGGAGGTTTCTGTAGAGAAAGCAGGGTTCCACCCTCCCTGGGGGCAGAGCAGGATGGGTGCCCATGAAAACCCCACGCATGCCCAGATCCTGCCTTTCCCACCACAGCTATAACCCCACGTTTGGGCTGGCAAGGAAGCCCCCAGCAGGCACGGCCCCAGTGAGTAGGGCCACTGCATTCAGATGACTTTGCCCACAAGCTATTATCATTCCTGGCTTGATGGCAGCAGGGTCCAGACCAAGCTTTGTTCTCCAGGGTGATCCCATGCTGGGAGGTGGCAGTGCCGTGGGGTTGCTGGCACTGGGCTATCCACTGTTGGAAAAACGTGCATTAATCTCTAACCTGCAAAAAGTCCAGCTTTGAAAATACATCCCTGAGATATGGGGGTCTGGTCCTGCTAATTCTGTTCTAAACAAGGCAGAAATCCTCTGGAGCCATGAAGATTTTGCTGGCATGTGGGAGCATGGATGTGGGGAGACTTGGTGACACCAGGGTTCAGTGCCAGGTTCCATCTGGCATGGCAGAGCCTGACAGCCTTTGCAGGGGGTGGGGAGGCAGAGTTTGGCACAGGGATGTCTGACCCAAGTGCTTCTGGCTGGTCCTCTGCACTTGGGGTCCTGTGCACTTCCTACCCCAAGGGCGGCTGAAGCTGAGGCAGGGCGATAAGTTCCTGGCACCTTTGATCAGCATTGTTAGCAGCACTATCTGTTCATCTCTTGGAACTGGGAGACAGCCAAGGTAAACACCCTGTGCTGCCGAAGCACTCGAACATAGCCTGCTGCTATGTGGCCGCCAGCTCCAAGCCAGAGCTGAGATCTCTGGGTCCATCGCAAGACATGCTGGTCTTGGCTCCAGACCTGCTGGTAGGGTTGTGTTTGGGAGTAAGAGAAACTGAAATCATGGGAAAGGTGTAAGCAGCTCTAGCCTGGTGTGCTGTAGCCCATTCATTTGGCAGAGCTTTCCACAAACATGCCAGAGAAACCACTGGATACATATAGAGGTTTTGGAGGTCCTGCCTGGAGGTGCACCCTTGGGGACTGCCATGAGATGCTGGTACCAGAACGCAGACACCCCACACACAGCTTGGAGACACCCCAGGTCCGGTGGCAGCTCTGCTCCTGCCATGCTCTCCTGGCTCACTCATGCATGCTCCTTTTCTCCTGTGCCCTCCCCATTCGGGGGGAACCAGGCTGAGGATGCAGGGACAGGGAACATGCACCATCATCCAGCCGGGAACAACCAAGCCCAGCAAACCCCGGTTCCCACCATTGCTCCTCTGGGAGCTGTACTGCCCAGGCGTGCCCTGCCTCTCTGGGGTGGAGCATGCCACCAAGTCCCTCTGCAAAAGCCAAAGTTATCTTTCCCCATTTAGAAAAGAATAAGTGACCTCAGACTGCCCGCCGGCACCCTGCTCATCCCGAGGGCAGAGCCAGGTCTCTGAGTCACTCCCGGGTCAGAAACTGTGGGAGCACGTCATTAAAGCCAGTGCCAAAGTGGAAAGCCACAGGGTTGAATTTACAGCGTGAGTGACCTCACCTCCACCATAGCCTAACAGATCTGAGTGCAACGTTAGTAAAAGCAGGGCAGGGGGGCATTAGTAAAATGAGGGGTGCTGGATGCAATTTTCCTACTGAAGTAACCAAAGGGGGGATAAAACAACATAACTCTGATACAGTGACTACGGCAGGTAGTCAGGCTGACCTGGCTCATCACTGGAGCCTGGTTTCCAGTGCCTGACCACAGCTCCTCGCTGCTCAAGCCAATGTGGGACTAAGGTGGGGCTGTGGGCTGACATTGCTCCAGCAAAGAGCCTGGGAAGAGGGATGTGGCAGCAGGGCAGAGGGAAGGGGTACAGCTTGATCCACAGGGGATGTAGCCCGTCCAGCTCTGCTCCCCATGCTGAGGTTAGAACTGCCCATTCACAGCCATGTATGTCCAAGCCAGGTGTGTCTCCAGACAACAACGTCCTGATGCCCGAGCAATGTAACTGCCCCTTTTCCTTCCTACTCCAAAGTATTTGGGCAAACCCAGCATGCCTTCCTCCCTCTTGTCACTGTGTACAAACACCACTCTTTTCCCATATGCTAAAAAATATTTTCATTCCCTAAAAATTATTTTCATTCCCTAAAGGAAAAATGTCAGTCCCAGCAATATAATGTACACAAATATATAAATAACTAAATCTGGGTTTTACCAGGGACAGACACAGTGGAGAGCCTTTGCTACTTTGAGTCACATCAGGGAAGCACAGCCAGCCTCCCTCTGCAACCTCCAGGCAGGGAGGCACAGGACCCCATCTCCCCTTGAATCTTCCCAAAGCTCCCAGGTTGCAGATCAGAAGCGAAAGCACGGGCTGGTGAACCAGCTCTTGCCTCTGGGCACAGACTTTAAAATGTCACAGGCAAATAGCATTAAGATAAAGCAGTGCATAGCAGCAGTGCAGAGCAGGTCTGGATCTCTCTCTGCAGATTCATTCCACCGGTGTGTTATCAGGAGTTGCACTTAATGACTCCCCATTGCACAGAAACACCCATTCCCAGCTGTACCAGCAGATGAGTGCACCCACCCTGCTAGGCTACCCCCATGCACCCGCCTGCTTGGACCCAAGCTCACAGTGCTGTGCATGCCAGGGTGGAAGAACACCCATAGCAGGGTGCTGCAATTGCAATAGAAAGAGCTTTACCCTGCCGGCACTTGCAGCACGGAGAGCAGGTCACTGTGGATGTAGTCCCAGGTGGTTTCCACTGCACCAATGTAGTATCTTCTGACTTTGCTGATGCCCTCCTCAACCAGGCAGAGGAGCAGGAGGCCACGCAGGGCTCCCACCAGCATCGTGCCCACCAGCTGCTTCAGCACGAAAAGTGAAAATGAAAGAATGAGAAAGGAAAGAGGAGAGAAAAGCCTTTATCTTCTCATCCAGCTGTTGTAATCCACAGGAGATGATGATTTAAAGCCAGCACCGACAGGCTCAGTCAGAGCACTGGTGAGTTTCTCAAAGACATCAGGAGAAGAATCACTCAAGTGGGTTAGTGCGAAGAGGAGAGTGCAAGCGATGGGCTCTCCCTGTCTTCCTCTGGAGTGGCAGTGACAGGAGGAGAGGAAAAAACAAAAGGAAAGGGAGGGCAAGTGCAGCAGTAAACTCTGCTGCAGGACCCAGCTGGCTCAGTGTCCTGGTCTTCATCCAGGAGCGAGGTGAGGAAAGGGAGGGTTGCAGAGGAAGGGGAATTTAGGTGTGGTCTTTGCCTGATCCCACCTTCCCTCTCATGACAGAGAGGAAGGAGACGAGTGAGTTGCAGGCCAGCGCCCTGCTGCTGCCCAGGCTACAGGAGCCTTTATTTCCGGCTTAGGTCAGTCTGGGCTGGAGGCCCCCGGGGAGCTGGCAGCTAGCTTCTGTACCTGCTAGCCTGCACAGGTTGAGGAAATGGTAATTTAGGGGAAGGTTTGGCTTCAGGATGCAGATGGCTTATTGCTGTGAAGCAGGAGAGAGTGTCCTGTGCCCCCCAGTGCTGAGAGCCTGCAAGACACTTTGCATATGCGGGGCAGGGCTGGAGATGGGGAAATAGGCAGGGATGCACATATGCATGTACAGAAGTGGAGTGCATCCCTGTTCCCCGGGTGCCTGCACCCCAAGCAGTGATGATTTAACCACACAGCCTCGCTTTGAGCCACATGGCAGGGAAAGGGTTGGGGTCATTCCTGGGAGTCTCCCTCGTGCCAGCTGCTCCTCACCCTTCTCTTCTCCCAGTGTCCTGCAGAACAGCTCAGAGAAGATGCACTGCAACGTTTTTGCAGACTTCTTCCTTTTTAAACTCACTAATTTTCAATATCTCTTTTTAAAAACCCAGGAAATCCCTCCCCCCATCCTCCAAATGAACACACATGCTCACACATACATGTCAGCATATGGCTCTCACTCGGCTCACGAAGGCAGGAAGATGAGAAGGAACGCCCTGCATGGTCCTGGTGTCTGCTGGGCAAGAGAGGTGTGGAAACGTCCCATAAATCACACTGTAGGGCAGCAGGAGTGCAATGTGGGTTGTGACCCCTTTGGTGACAGCCCCAGTGTGTGCAGAAGCATCCATGTGACAGGTCTTGGTGCCTGGGCAACAGAGGGAGGTGGTGGGGATGGTGGAGTGACAGGTGTTTCTGTGTCCCAGATGTGAATACTTAGCACAGGGCAGGTGGGACTGCTAGGGGATGGGACGGTGACAAGAGCTGAGCCCCCCAGGTGGGGGCAATCCCAGCAGATGTGGGAACACATTCCCTAATGTCCCACTGTCCCACGTAGCCCAGCATAGCCTGGGAACCACCTCGAGCATCCCAGCCCCATGGGCTCACCATGCAGGAGCACCCCATTTCTGTGGGGTCAGTGACTGCTCTCTGTCCTGCTCCTTCTGAGGGGGGCCCGTTCTTGCCATCTTGCTGGGGACACCCTATCTCTTCCCACCCCTGTGCTTATGACAGCCCTGGGCCCGAGGGGGAAAACCATCCCAGGCAGCTGTGTCTGGCTGGGAGTCCCATGGCAGCAGCAAGGAACATCCAGGGGGACTCCCCCTTGGCCCATGTAAAGCCCCAACCCACCAGGGGCTGCCCACTCCTTCCTGCACTCGCCCCAGCACTGGCTGATGAAGCAGGGGCAGAAAGTGCTCCCCCCGCACCGCCCAGCCTGCTCCTGGAAAGGCAAAAAGCCAGCCAGAAACAAGAAACACATTTCCTCCAGCTCATTTGCCAGCAGCTGGCTCCACGCCCGGCCTGGGACTCCTTTTCGTTGTGAGGAAGATGAGCAACAACCCCACTCCACGTTTTCCAGCAAGTATTTTGGGGCAAAACAAGCAGTGTGTCACATCTGGGGACGCCCCGGGTGCTTTGCACGATCTGCCCTCGTGCAGTGAACTGGAAGGATATTGTTCAGTGCTGGAGGGGAAAGGGTGGTCCGGAGGTCCAGGAGAGATGTGGGAGATCCAGGCTGTGCTTCTGGCACTGATATCCCCCACAGTACGTGACTTTATTCCAGTCATCCTGTCTGGGAGTCTGACAGTGCTGGGAGACTGTGCTCACCCGGAAAGGCTGGAAAAGGTGTTTCTTCCAGAAACAAGCAAACGGGGAAAACGTCATCAAGCAGAAAACATGACCATGAAGAGGGCAGCTGGGGGGTGGCAGAGCAGGATGGGCACGTGGGTGGGTTGGGGTTGGCTGTCAGGAGGGATGCTCCACCTCTGGGTGCTGGAGATCTGCATGGGGCAGCACAGGGGCTTCTTGCCTCTAACCCTGGCAGGGATGCTCCCAGGCACTATGGGATGACAACATCCAGGGATCATGGAGGGGAGCCAGACAAACCTTCACTTGGGGGCTGCAGTGGCAGGAGCCTGGACACAGTCAGAATTTAACGGTTGTTACACTGGCAGGTGCTGAATTGCTGGGTTAAAGCCAGCTCCAGGTTCCTAACCCAGAGACATACGAGTAAACTGGACAGATGGGGTCTAAACTGAGGGAGCAGAAAGCAAATTGTATTAGCAAGATACTCAAGGCTGTGGGAAGGGGAATTGAGGTGTGAAAGCGGGGTGGAGGTGCACTTGCTGCATGCAGTGGGTAGCTTTGTGCAGGCACACAACGGCCACTGCAAAGGGTGACAAGGGGAGCTGGGCATCTGCAGGGAGCCCGGGTCCCCCCAGCACAGCCGGAGCCCACATTCCCCAGCAAAAGCATGCATGGCCACAGCAAATGGGGCAGCATTAGCTGACACTTCCAAGGGCTCTGCAAACCCGTGTGGGTGCCACTGCAAAGTGTCAGCATTGCCTGTGCATAGCTGGGCTGCAATGAGCCAGGCAGCAGCAGACAGCTAGAACTTTGAGAGAGCTGTGAAGAGGCACTGGCACCTTGGCCCTGCCTGGAGCAAGGCATAGTGTCAGCACATGTACGTATCCCCACACCTCCCCGTGAGACAGCGCCAGGACACTGTCCTGCTGTTGAAATGTGATGGGGAAGCCAGGACAGGGTCCTGCCACCAAGAGTCCCAGAGAAACCTGCTTGGCCAGAGCCAAGGACACACGTGCATGCAGAAAGCTCTGGTTGTTTCCCCAAATTGTGCAGTTCTCAGCTCAATACAGGGCTGGGGCAGATAAAAATAACTCAGAACAAAGTGAGCCTTGTCTAATTTCTCCTGGGACTTTTTTTGTGTGTATGTCTGTGAGGGAGAGCAAGCCAGTGACTCATGGCAGCTTCTTGGGAATGCAGAGTACCGCAGAAGCAGGAGCCACCCACGGGGCGCTCACCCTTCCCAGCACTCACATGGGTAGAGGGCACCAAGACACTGGCTGTGCCAGTGGAAGGACCAGGTATGGCCCCTTGTACCAGCACTTTCAAGCTGGAGCACCTCTTGCTGCTGCCTGCATCCCACCCGGACCCTGCCTGCCCTGGGGAGGGCTTGGTTTTAGTGCGTGGTTCTGGAAAGTGGAACGGCAGCCCGAGGGTCGGCAGGACATATCCCTGCTCTTCCACAGACATGCCTTGGACAAGTCCCTGCCACGTGAGCTTGCCATGCTTCCTTCCTGTGCCACCGGGCACATGCCACCGCTGGCTCCTGCCCAGCCTGTCGATGCATGCCACCCTGACTCATTTCACCAAATGCCGCAGGAAATCCCTGTCACCGTTCCAGTGCCTCCCTGCACAGCTGGAGTGAAGGATGCTGTGTGGGTTTCCAGTTTCCTCTCCAGAGCCAGTGCTGGAATTTAGTCACAGGGGATGTGTTTATCCTGTGTAGCCAGACCCACCGTGCTCTGCAAAGGCAGAGGTCCTTTAGGGGAGCTGCTTTTTTCAGAATCCACTGTCTCAGGAAGAAAAAATATAAAACAAACCACCAACCCACTAGCTAAAAACAGCATCTCTCATGGTGCTTTTGTCTCCATCCAGGCTGCTGCAAAACCAGCCCAGATGAAGAGACAAGCCCTGGCCCTAGTGCAGAAAAATCACAGCAGGAGAAAAGCCCACACCTGTCCTTGGGGAAAAAGCTCCCTCCTTTGGAACCAAAGCTCGGGGCTGCAGGAGAAATGCCTGGTGGACCTTGCTCGGCTGCTGCACCCTAGCAATGATGGAGCAAAGAGGCGCTGCAGCCCCACGCAGCTCACAGATAGCAGGACCCCGAGGCAGCATCAGCACAGAGGGGCCGATAGCATTAACACCCCCGAGTATCCAGCAAATCCAGCCCTGAGATTCCCTAACTCCACAGCAGAAATGTCAGTATGGAGAAGGTCCCAAAAATAAGCCTGCTCTCCTCCCCTGGCTTTTCCTGCAGTGAGTCGGTCAGCGGAGCATTTCTCCTTTCTCTCTCGTTTCTCACGTCGGAGGCATCTCTGAATGATTCAGGCAGCGGCAGCACAATGGCCACACTCCTGACACAGGGCGCCCAGGGTGCTGCGTCTGGAGGAGCTGGGGAGGAAAAGCATCTGGGGGGTCTCACTGGCCAGACGATGCTCCCTGCAGCTGCTGGCTTCGCATGGCTACTGCTAAAGGATCTTTGCTCCTCAAGTGTCAGAGCAGCCCCGGGAGCACCCCAGCAGCCTGCTGCAGCCTCCAGGCACAGATGTCCTTTGTATGTCACCTAATTACCATGGCTGATTAAATGAAGCTCAGAGCAATTGCTCATCCCCGAGCCTGCTTTGAGGGTTGCTGCTGCTAAGTCAGCCTGGAGATGGGGTCATGTTCCCAAGGAGCGTCCGGTTTTTGGTGTCTGTCATGCACTGTGCTTAGATCATCTCCTGAGATGCCCCGTCTCCTGCAAAAACTCCTGGAATAAGCCCCAAGCTCCCAGGGCTGCTCATATTCAGCAAAGCTTTCCCTGGACCCCACAAGAAGCAGCTCTCCTTCACAGACACTGTGCTTGGGGCCGCAGGGAAGGAGCATGGTGGTGCCCTGCCTTACCTGTCCCCCCAGTGCTAAGTGCTGCTCAGCCCTGGCATCCTCACACTGACACAGCTCCTGATGAACC